CAGTGGATGCAATCCATCGACTGGTTTCGGTGTTCATCCACATAGCTCACTAAGAGGATGAGCAACGTGCCATCAAATCACAGAAATCTTTTCTTGCTAATTGGCCACTCACTCACTTGCACCTTCACAAAGCCTGCCCAATCAGGAAGGTGGGGGGGGAGGGGGGGGGGGAATAATTGTGAACGATGTCATTTGGGACACATCCGTCAGAAATAATTGGAACGACAGAGAGAAGATTAACGTGAACGATGTCATTTGGGACACATCGTGTCATTCACTGCTCTTCCCCCTCCACCACCCACCCTCGCCCCCGTCCTCTCTCTCTCTCTCTCTCTCTCTCTCTCTCTCTCTCTCTCTCTCTCTGTGTGCCCATCTACTCCCCCCCTTCTCTTCCTCCCTCGAGATGCCTACCGCAGATCACGTGGTTCGAATGAACACAAACAGTTCACAGAGAGAAGCCCTACCGTCCTGACCCAAATAGAACGCCCGGTCACTATACCGGTATCTGAACTGAAATTTAGGCCAAATACAGGACTAATTACTGGGCGTTCTATTCGGGTGAAGACGATAGTACCCTGATTGCTCCCTCCTGCTTTCTCGTTTACCTCGCGCTTGCTCCTTCTCAAAGCTAGGATAGTAGTGTCTCCTTCCCTGCTCCTGCTCCACTTCCCTCCCCCTCGTCTCCTCTCCCTCCCCAGATCTCCACACCCTCCTCTACCCTTCTCCGCCCTCCTCGAGATGCCCACCGCAGCGGCGCAGACCACAGCGTTCGAAACAGGACAATCCATTTGGAAAAAAAAAAAAAAAAAAAAAAAAAAAGGACAAATCCATTAACAGACACCCCCCTGTACACCCTAAAAACGAGACAATCCATTATTAACATACACCGCCCCTGAAGCCTAATCCATTCCTCCTCCTACTCTCATTTGTGAAATTCAACCGAGATCTCTTCCAAGATCTCTTCCAACCTGAAGCGAACCCCAAACTTAGTCAATGAACAAATAATTGGTGTACCAGCAGTTAAACAACGATTTTTTCCTTTCAACTTTGTCACTTTTTTAACCCGAGTGGGTTGCTAAGTAACTCTGAGTACATTTTTGACAAAAGTTAGCCAGTTGACTATCGATTTGTTCAGTGATTGTTTTACTCCAATACTCCCCACCCACCCTAATCTCCTCCCTCCTCCGTCGACACACGTGGACTAATGCCCCTGTTCAACGGGATAGCACACACACGTTAGAAAGCCTAGCCTGCACCCATCATCATCATCGTCATTTATCCTATTCCTACCTAAAAATAATTCTGCAATTTAGGACGGAAAGAGAGGGGGGAGGAGGAGACAAAATAAACAGTTGCAAAAAATAATAATAATAAAAAATATAATAATAATAAAATAATTAAAAAAAAAAAAAAAAAACAGCTGCAATTCTGCCTCCACCCTTCATCAACACGTTACCTTACCCCCCCCCCCGAAGGTATCGAACTCTCCATCTGTCAATCAACGCGCGCAATAATGACATGCCATGGAACCTTCACCTCCACTACACTTTCACGCCCCCTGCGACGTGGCTGCGATTGTTGACGTCAACGTTTACACATCGTAGCTACCGCTCCTAAGAACCACTTGTATTCAAAAAATTAAAGGAAGGACGAGAGAAGGACAAACAATAAAGAGGGTACACTGCCGACCCGAGCAGCCCCCCAACGCTCATCCCCACTCAACTTCACACCACAGCCTGACCCCTTCGGCCACCGACAACCCTAGGTCACATAACGGAACCTGGGCAGGCGGCAGACCAGAAGCGTCCCGATGGCAGATCTGGATCGACTTGCAAGCACTGACTGAAGGCCGCGATGTGCTCTTGACTTCCAAGGCAATGAAGAACGCGATGCGCTTAAAGAAATGTCCAACGGCAGCGGGGGAATCCACCTCCCCCGAAGATTTTCAAAAGCAAAAAAGAAAGTCCCCCCGCTATTCGATCCCGGCTTCTTTTCCCCGTTTCACTATTTTTAGACCATGTTTCCAACTAATCGTCGTCGTCATCATCATCATATCATCCCTCATCATCCCTCGTCATCCTCATCTTCATCATCCTCATCATCACCATCATCATCACCCCTCATCATCATCTATGAGTGACAGCAATCGGTCGTTTGTAACTAATCAAGTGACAGACTGATATACAACCGTCGTCGAAATCCACCATCTTCATCCTCCTAATCATCGCCATAGCCATCATGACCATCACCATCGTCGTCATCATCAACTCGGAAGAACCTGTCAACGTAAGGGCGAGATCCCACTGGCAAAGACGATTGAAGTAAGCGTCTGAATGTGGACGTGTTTGTGAACAGGTGAAAAAAATTGTGATTGATCTATACTTTTTCCGCATCTCTGTGTGAAACACGTCCAAATTCGACTCTTATTCCAATCCTCTTTGCCAGTGGGATCTGGCCCTAAGATTACTGCATTAAATTACCCCTCATCCTCGTCATGGCCATCTTCATCATCATAATCCCCATCGCCAACGGCATTTCCACTGTCGTACCGGAAATGGACTAACTACTATACCGTTGCCACGTACATAGTCGCTATTCCGATCATTATACGGTTGCCACGTACATAGTCGCTATTCCTATCATTATACGGTTGCCACGTACATAGTCGCTATTCCGATCATTGGGCATCATATATCGTCATAGAGAATTACAAGGTGCACCGTAGGCAGAGAGCGAGAAGAGGAGGGGGTAACAGACGCTGCTGTGACAGACTGTTTCCTCGTCGGGGTTTCATCACACGAAGAACTGTTTAGCAAACCATGAGCAGAAAGTAGGGCAAATGACAAGTAGGGACTGAAATCGACTGCTTCATCGGAGTTTCACCGACTCGTCAGGAGGCTGGATATACTTTTGTACATGCATAACAAGATACCGACTCGTTTGGAAACAAACGCCGATAGCGAGTAGCATTCACCCATTGAATATCATCGTAGCGTTCATCGTAACACATCGATAAACGCGCGCGCCAAGTAATGCTAATCACCGAAATTAAATCAGGTAGTGTCATCTCGGTAAAGATCACACACGCTGGCACAGGGTCTTAAACACGATCTCCACTGTAGTATCTATCAGCCGTGGACTCGTCATCCTGGAAAGCCTTGGGAGCAACTGAACCCTAACAACCTACTCGTGAGTCCATACTGGATTCGTTTATAGATAGAATCCACAGCGTGTAATTGCAAGACTATTCACTCTGGAGTGCCCTTAACACCTTCCCCCCGCATACAACGCGCGGTAATTATACCTGCATGAGGGGCAGTTTTCAGCCCAGATACGTCCAGAATAACCATATGCGTTCTATACCGGGGGAAACCCCTTTTTTGGTGGGGGGGTCCCCCCAACCTTGACCCGGCCCCCCTCCCCCCCCCCCCCCCCCTTTTAGGTTAAACCCCCCCCCCCCCCCCCCCCCCCCTCTCTGTTAATCCATGCTGGATTCATTACCCCCCCTCTGTTAATCCATGCTGGATTCATTACCCCCCCACCACACAGGGAAGGGGGAAGGAGAGAGAGAGAGAGAGAGAAGCAGATTCACGTTGACGTCATTCATATCTACAGAGAAAAAAGCCGCCAGCAAACACTTCAGCTGCATGCATTCATAGATCAAAATTGCTCCGTATCTGTACACGATTTCACGGAGCGATCCATTCCGTTTCACCCGCCTATTTATTGCACGTTTGTAATAGCGAAAAAACGGGCAGAAAACAAGACAGAGAAACGGAGAAATCAAGGAAAGCAAAGAGATGAACAGTGCGAATTGACACCGAAGGGGTGTGCATACAAAAGCATACACACAATAGCACTCTCCAAACTGTACCTGACGATAGCCATGACCAGATTCCACTGACAATCCTAGTGCGAGTACGGAAGGATTTATATTGGTGAAACGGCGAGAGGAAAAGCAGAGAGGAGAGAGAGAGAGAGAGAGAGAGAGAGAGAGCAAGAAGACAAAAGGCAAACGTCCACAAGATCAGAAAGCATGGCCAAACGGAATGCAGCCGAAACGGAGCACCAAACGGAATGCAGCCGAAACGGAACACGAAACGGAATGCAGCCGAAACGGAACACCAAACGGAATGCAGCCGAAACGGAACACCAAACGGAATGCAGCCGAAACGGAACACCAAGCAACAAACGAACAACAGAAAGGGAACAAACAAAGCAAAAAACAAACGACAGACAAGGAAAAAAACGCAAAGGAGATCAACAAGCAGCTATGGAAAACAACAGAGAGAAAACCGAAAGCAGCGGGAACCAAACAGCAAGAGAGAGAAAGGCAAGGCGACAGACAGTAATGAAGAGCAACGGGCAGCAACGCGAAAGCAACGGAAAGCAACAAAAAAAAAAGAAAAGACAGAAAAAAAGAACAAGAACGAAATGGAATGCACGAGAAGACCGAAATGGGAAGGAACGGAACGAAGCGGACGGAATTGGAAACACGGACTAGCGAAAGGAAAAAAGGATTTGACCTAGAAAAGGAAGGATAAGAGAACAAAGCGGCCGGCAAAGGGAAACGAAAACGTTTGAGAGAGAGAGAGAAAGAGAGAGAGAGAGAGAGAGGAAAGGAGGGAGAAGGAGAGAGTACAAAAAGGAAACGTGAAGATACAAAGGCGCGCCAGACAGGAGAAAAAGAGAGAGAGAGAGTATTCGGGGCAAACAACCAGACACGGAAGACAAAAACGGCGGCGGGACAAGGATGATACAAGCACGACTCAAAGTCCACTGATCGTTAATAGCAGATACCAAGCAGATTTTTTATTTATTTTTTGGATACCAAGCAGATTCCAAAAAGTATTATGGAAAAAAAGACTGGCAATGACAAACCACACTCACAGAAAAAAAGGGAAAGAGGGCAGAAATGGGAGAGAAAAACACATACGCAGAATACACTGCAGCAGATAAATCGACCCAAACCACTCGGACAATCTTGCAACGAGGAGTTCACAGAAAAACGTTTTTTATTACTCGACTTAGCTCCAATGCGCTTGAAAGACTCCTCACGCCCGAGGTGATATTCCGCATTTTTCCTGTATTCCCTGGTGGTGTGTCATTTCCCTTCTTCTACATCTTATACTCATCTCGAAAACGCATTCGACAAAACTTCATCCATCCACGGCGAAAATCATCTCTCTCTCTCTCTCTCTCTCTCTCTCTCTCTCTCTCTCTCTCTCTCTCACACACACACACACACACAGACAGACCCCCCCCCCCCCCCCTCTCTCTCTCTCTCCCTCCCTCTCTCTCTCTCTCTCTCACACACACACACATAAAGACAGACCCACCCACCCCTGTCTCTCCCGCACGATCTTCGTGTTTCTTCTCACATCTCCCTTTCCTCTGCCATTTTGAACTCAGTCACTCTCCAGGCCCCTCCATAGGCCAGTTGCTTACATCTATTTAAGCACTCCCTCCACCCTTCGTCGTCAAACTCTCTCCACATCTCCTCTCTCCCCACACACAAACGCACGCAATTAGAGGAACGATCGGTGTCCTCTGTTCATCGTCACCCACTTTCATTCTCACGCAACTAATTAGCGCACTACTCTCCACTACCATGTAGAGGAAACAGTAATAGATGGTGTACGTGGCACTGTTCTGTCAACCCAGAAATGAGTCCCAATTCTCCCTCCAATTACACACCCGCCTTCTGTCGTCGCCGATCGCTCCCTACTCCCAGCCTTCCCGCCAAAACCACCTGTCCACCTCCCCTGTTCCACTCTGCTCACTGTCCTTCCCGCCGAAACCAACCACCCTCCAACACGTCAACCCCAATGCTCCCTCGAATTACACACCCGCCTTCTGTCGTCGCCGATCGCTCCCTGCTCCTTGCCTTCCCGCCAAAACCACCCTCGCCGGTTCCACTCTGTTCACTGTTCTTCCCGCCGGAACCACTTTCCAACACGTCAACCCCAATCCTCGCTCCCTGCTCCCTGCCTTCCCACCAGAAACACCTGTCCACCTCGCCAGTTGCTCACTGCCCTTCCCGCCAAAAGCACCTTCCAACCTCGTCAACCCCAATCCTCCCTCGAATTACACACCCGCCTTCTGTCGTCGCCGATCGCTCCCTGGTCGCTGCCTTCCCGCCAAAACCACCCTCGCCGGTTCCACTCTGTTCACTATTCTTCCCGCCGAAACCAACCACCTTCCAACACGTAAACCCCAATCCCCCCTCGAATTACACTCCCGCCTTCTGTCGTCGCCGATCCCTCCCTGCTCCCTGCCTTCCCGCCAGAAACACCTGTCCACCTCGCCAGTTGCTGACTGCCCTTCCCGCCAAAAGCACCTTCCAACCTCGTCAACCCTAACCATCCCTCGAATTACACACCCGCCTTCTGTCGTCGCCGATCGCTCCTGCTCCCTGACTTCCCGCCAAAACCGCCTGTCCACCTCGCCGGCTCCCCTCTGCTCACTGCCCTTCCCGCCAAAACCACCTTCCAACCTCGTCACACCCCCCCCGTTCCCCAACTTCCCTGGCGAAGCCCCCTTCCCACCTTCCCCCTGCTCTCCCTGCCTTTACACCCTCGCCGATACCCCCTGATCCCTACTCTTCCCGCCATAACGACCTTCAAAACCTCCAGGGTGGTTCTGGCTCCATGCCCTTCCCGCCAAAAGCACCTGCCGCCCTCGTCAATCGCCCCTTGTCCCCTGCCTTTCCCGCCAAAGCCACCTTCCTACCTCGTCGACCACCATTCCCGCCAAAACCAGCATCCACTTCATGGATCCCTTTTCTCAGTGCCTTTCCCGCCAAAACCAGCAGACGCCTCAGACATGCACACAAAACGATCGCCGCCGTCACGAGAGCCATGTCACCTCTAACATGCAGTTCGCGCCACCACTGCGCGCCGCCACTCTATGTCACATTTCTTATTCCACAGCATGGAGAGCTGCCGTGGAGTTCGCCGCTGCCACTAAAGCCATGAAATTGCACCGCCAGTCCAAGCCAGAACTGTTGTTGACGTCATTCCTCGACTCGTTCTAATATGTCTGGTCCCCTTAATAACACGTCTCCAGCTAATCATCCTCTTCATCGATCCCCTCCTCAAATACCCCCCCCCACACACACACACATTTATCTCCAACCCTCGAAAACACCGACCGCAGAAGCAGTCACCAAAAATCGGTGGCATTCCTACAGTAGGGCGGTGGCATTCCCGCAAACACCCCTCCTAGGAGAACCTAGTATGAAACTCTGCTGACGGATGAACAAAGGAGCAGACGATGGCAATTCAGCCCTGACCATACGTATTGATTAAGAGGCGTGGAGATTCTTAGACTAGACGGAGCACGTAGAGACAGAGAGAGAGAGAGAGAGACTTGAAAGAGGGAGAGAGAGACAAGAGAAGGCAGAAGAGCATTGCAAATACATCAGCGTTGTAAAGCAGTCTGATAAAAAAAAAAATCAATCAATCAATCAATCAAGCAATCACATCAAAATGCCCCCCCTTCGCCATCATCATGCTCTGTCAACATCACTCTTATTCTAGCCATCACCATCGGAGAGAAAGAAGAAAGAAGATATCCGTTACGGTTTGTGTACCGATCCAATCCGACTAAATGTAGTACAACTCCTTATTTTTGCTGCGACCGCCACTCTTGGCGTCCTCGTGCGCCGTGAAACCCATCATCGACTTCTCATTCAAATCAAGAACGACCTTCCACTGCTTGCCAATCGACATCTGCCGCACCTCATTCGTCGCCGTTGATGTCCACAAGGAGATCCTATCCTTATCTCTGATGTTGACGACAACACCACAGATGTCATTCCCCTCGTCGAACTGCTCTCCAATCAAGGCCAACAAGGTATTCAACCAGAACGCATCTAGGACTTGCTTTGCAGGGGACGCAACCGTCCACTTCCCGCCTTTTTCGCAGACCGGGTCCTCCCATTTAGGTTCCACATTGCGCTTGAACATGTGCAGATCGGTGCCCTTCCGCAGATCGCTGGGAGGCTTGATGTTGTTGTACATGCACCAGAAATCTTCGACGAAGCCGAACGAGTATACTTGGCGAAGAGTGCTGCCCCACGCAGCTTGACGCCCACCAGGGCCGCCTCGACCGCCGCCGCTGGAGCCGGCATCGTACCACAAAGTCCAGTGATTATAGAGAGGATGCTTTTTGGCGGGAATGGGACTCGATAGAGGTCCAACGGGGGAGACGTGATCGGGAGAGCCGGTGGAAGCCGCCGCCGGCGGCGGCGCCGCCCCCTGCTCCGCCGTAGTCGGGGTAGATCCCCCTTCCCCCGCGCCGGTCGGAGGCGAAGAACCAATGTCCGCCACCGAGCCCGATGACGGCGGAGTGGCGGCCGGCGCCGCCTCCCCCACCTCCGCCGTTTTCTCCACCATCGTCCCTCCCTCCCCTGCTTCCCGCGATGTCACTTCCGCCGCCGCCGCCGCTTCCGCCTCCTTCTCCTCCTCTTCAAGCCTGTTTCTCCCAAGTTCCAACCCTTCCGATTTTGTACCCTTCCCAGTCAGCTCTCCCTCTCCCCCGTTCAGCGCAGCAGCGACAGGTAAGACAGGTGGCGGCGGTTGCTCGATGGATTCCTCGCTGTTGATGACATTGCCTGTTGGCTTGCAACGTGTCACGATCACAGATTTCTCCACAGGCGGCTCGTCTGTGACCCGACCTGCGGCGCTTGCGTTCGGAAGTGATGACGACGACAACGATGAGATTCCCCCCGCGCCGCCTACCCCAACTCCTCCGTTGGCCCCGTCAGCAACCACAACGGATGCAGTGGACGAACGACGACAACGATGAGATTCCCCCCGCGCCGCCTACCCCAACTCCTCTGTTGGCCCCGTCAGCAATCAGCAACAACAGCGGATGCAGTGGACGGACGACGACGGTCCAACCATCCCCCCTCCGCCAGTGTACCCTGCCGCTCTCTTCTCTAGTCCCGAAGCTGTTCCTAGCTGTGTTCCTGCTCTCCGCGGCGGACCTACCTGTGTTCCTGCTCTCCGCGGCGGACCTACCTGTGTTCCTGCTCTCCGCGGCGGACCTACCTGTGTTCCTGCTCTCCGCGGCGGAC